GGGGTCTGAACGCCTCAAAAATTGGATTGGGAGGCGGAAAAATGGGATTTTGAGGTGAAATAATGGGATTTTGAGGTGAAAAAATGGGATTTTGAGGGCAAAAAATGGGGTTCAAAGGGGCAAAAATGGGCGTGGCTTTGGTAAAGGGGGCGTGGCTTGGGGAAAGGGGGCGTGGTTTGATGAAATTTCGGGGAAAATGAACAAAATTTGGGGAAATTTGAGAGGAAAACGAGGTGGGATTTGAGGAAAATTTGGGGGGAAAACGGAGCAAAAATCGGGGAAATTTGAGAGGAAAACGAGGTGGGATTTGGGGGGAAAATTTTGGGAAAAATTCTGTAAAATTTGTGGTAAAATGGGGTAAAATTTGGGAAAAAAGGAGTAAAATTTGGGTTAAAACTGCGCAGAATTGGGGGGAAAATGGGGTAAAATTTGGGATAAAATTGGGCAAAATTTGAGGGAAAATGTGGTGAAATTTAGGATAAAGGGGGTAAAATTTGAGATAAAGTTGGGCAAAATTTGAGGAAAAATGTGATAAAATTTAGGATAAAAGGGGTAAAATTTGAGATAAAATTGGGCAAAATTTAAGGAAAAACGGGTTAGAATTTGGGATAAAATGGGTTAAAATTTGGGATAAAATGGGGTAAAATTTGGGATAAAATGGGGTTAAATTTGGGATAAAGGGAGTAAAATTTGGGGTAAAATTGGACAAAATTGGAGGAAAAACGGGGCAAAATTTGGGATAAAAACAGATAAAATTTGGCATAAAAATAGGTAAAATTTAAGAGAAAAAAAAGCAAAAATTGGGTGGAAAAGGAGCAGAATTTTGGGGAAAGTTGAGAGAAAAATGAGGTGGAATCTTGGGGGCGAATTGGGGAAAATTTGGGGGATATCCAGTAAAATCTGGGATAAAATTTAGGGATAAAACCGGGCAAAATTTGGGGAAAGATCTGGGATAAAAAATCAGACAAAATTCAGGGAAAAACGGGGTAGAATTTGGGATATAATTGGGTGAAATTTAAGAAAAAAATGGGCGAAAATTGGGCGGAAAACGAGCAGAATTTGGGGAATTTTGTGCCAAATTCGGGTCAAAGTGGGCGTGGCTTCCAGGAAAAATGGGAGGGGCCTCTCAAAAGTGGGCGTGTCCCCCTCCTTACCCCTTGGGGTGGCCGCTGTACTTGTCGCACAGGATGGTGACGCGGTTGACGGAGCCGCAGCCGTGGAAATGAGCCTCCAGCTCCTCCGCCGTCGCCCCGTAATCCACCTGCCATTTACGGACATTTACCCCCAAAATTCACCCCAAATTCACCCCCAAATCTGCCCCAAAATTTACCCCTAAATTTCCCCGAAAATTTGACCCCAAACGGCCTCAATTTCCCCCTAAATTTACCCAAAATTGACTCAAAAACAGCCCCAAATCCCTCCAAAATTTCTCCCAAGTTTCTCGAAATTTGACCCCAAATTTACCCCAAAACCAACCCAAATGTGCCCAAAATTTACCCCTAAATTTCCCCGAAAATTTGACCCCAAACGGCCTCAATTTCCCCCGAAATTTACCCAAAATCCACTCAAAACCAGCCCCAAATCCCTCCAAAATTTCTCCCCACGTTCTCTCAAAAT